TTGTCGTTATTGAAATATATCCTCCCTTTCTCCCTTCCGACCTCATTCTTTGTTGTTATTGAAAAATATCCTCCCTTTCGCCCTTCTTCCTCCTCTGTCTCGCAGGGGCCACGTGGGTCCCCCCCAGCCATCGGTGGACATGAAGCTGGCAGCAGTGCCCGAGATGGAGTACCTGCCTTCTGACAAGCCGAAGCCTCGGGGAGAGGTACGCAAAAGAGGGGAGAAGGGGGAGTGCAAGAGGATGGCAATGATAATCAGGAAATAAATGCGCGTCTTTGTCCTTGCCTGCCCCCACACCCAAGCAACCCCCCCCCCCAACCCCCCCTTGTTTCTCCGTTCCGTTTTTTGAGTCTGTCAGAGCCAGACGCATATGAGGGTGGCCGCATTTCTGAATTGTCTGTTTAGAGTAACGGTAGCCGCATACCCCATAAACTCTCCCCTCCCCCAACCCCCCTCCTCCCCTCTCCCCTGAACCCATTTCCCCCCTCCCCTCCCTAATTCTTTGTGCTGTGCAGATTTGCTTCAGGGGGGCGTCAGTGATGGTGGGGTATTACAAGCAGGAGGAGATGACAGCTGAAGTGATTGATAGTGATGGATGGTTCCACACAGGGGACATTGGGCAGGTGCGTGGTGATCAGTAAATCATTTGCCCTGCGTGTCTGTGGATACGTCCAAGGCACAAATCTTGTAGGTGCACTGTTCATGGATCCCACGTGTGCACTGTTCATGGATCTCACGTGTGCACTGTTCATGGATCTCACGTGTGCACTGTTCATGTGTGTGCATGGTTGGTGCATGCGTGGTTGGTTGGTGCGAGCAGGTGAACGAGGACGGCACGCTCACCATCATCGATCGCAAGAAGAACATCTTCAAGCTCGCTCAGGGCGAGGTGAGGCACATGCAGGCCGATGTGAGGGTGGTTCAGGGCGAGGTGAGGCACACCCACACACATACGCAGGGACTCTGAGGTGAGCGTGGCTGTTGAGGCGCCTCAAAAGACGGCATACTCACCATCATCGATCGCAAGAAGAACATCTTCAAGCTCGCTCAGGGCGAGGTGAGGCAGAGGCAGGGCGAGGTAAGGCAGAGGCAGGCCAAGGGGAGGGCTGTGCTCGGGGCGAGGTGCTGTGGCTCAGGGCGAGGTGAGGTGAGGTGAGGTTGGCTCAGGTTTATTGTGTGGTGATGCATTCTTACTGCACTGGCAAGCCAGTCCCTGTTGGCATTCTCATGCCACATCAGATGTGAAGATTATACTTTGAAGACGTCTGGAAACTAGATTTTCATACCACATCAGATGTGAATATCAACTGAGTGAGTCGACACCCCCAAACCACAACCTTCCCACTATGCCCTTCCCACTCACCCACCGCCCCTGCAGTACGTGGCAGCAGAGAAGCTCGAGGTGCTGTATGCCGGTGCTGCTCAAAATACAAAAGCCTGTTTGTGTGATTTCTCTCACCCATAATCATCCCACATTCCTTCTCCCACCCACCGCCCCTGCAGTACGTGGCAGCAGAGAAGCTTGAGGTGCTGTATGCCGGTGCTGCAGTGGTGGCCCAGATCTTTGTGTATGGCGACAGGTGAGTACTTTGGTGCCTACAACTGTGTGAGACGGATTAGATTAGTGTTGGAATAAACTCTTCGCCGTAAGTTATTCCTCACACACACGCACTCCCATATGCATTGTTTCCCCTCTGCTCTCACTGCCCACCCCTCTGCTCTCACCCATCCTTCTCCACCTCACCTTGCACTGCCACCCGTCACCTCGCCCTGCCCCCTTTCTCATCTCGCCCTGCCCCCTTTCTCACCTTGCCCTGCCCCCCATCACCTTGCCCTGCCCCCCATCACCTTGCCCTGCCCCCATCACCTTGCCCTGCCCCCATCACCTTGCCCTGCCCCCCATCACCTTGCCCTGCCCCCCATCACCTTGCCCTGCCCCCCATCACCTTGCCCTGCCCCCCATCACCTTGCCCTGCCCCCCATCACCTTGCCCTGCCCCCCATCACCTTCCCCTCCCCCTCGTCACCGTGCCTGTCTCTCACCCCCCTGTCCCACGTGGGTCAGCTTCAAGTCCTCATTGGTGGCGGTCGTGGTGCCTGAGAAGGATGTGCTCTCTGATTGGGCCACGTCATCAGGAGCCCTCTCGGCTGACGAGGCTGCCACGGCATCCCTTGCTGACCTGTGAGAGTGCATGCTTTTCCTGCATAGCTTGCTTCCCCTCACAGAAATGCGAGAAGGGGTTTTCGCACTGCTCATCTGGGAGTGGATATATTCTTACCTCGATACCCAGCGAGGCGTGAAAATAAGTGGGTAGGCAGATTACGATCGACAGCCGGGGGTTTCCTCTATAACCTTTACCTCATAGATGTGCGCCCTTCATAGCTGCATGTTCTTCCTCATGCCCCCAAGCTCTTCATGCCTGCATGCCCATGTGAGCTTGTGAGAGTCATGGCTCTGGAATTCAACACCACCCTCCCTACCCCCCCCACCCCTCTGCTCCCCCTCTTCCTGTCCACAGCTGCGCCCTCCCAGGAGCGAGGGAGCACGTGCTGGATGAGTTGGTGAAACGAGCCAAGGTAACAAGCATGAAGGGCTTTGAGGTGGTGCGGGGCGTGGCTCTGGAATGTGGGATCATCCCCCCTCGCCCCTCCTACCCCTGCCCCTCCTACCCCTGCCCCTCCTACACCTGCCCCTCCTACACCTGCCCCTCCTACCCCTGCCCCCCCCCTCTCCTGTTTGTCCACAGCTGCGCCCTCCCAGGAGCGAGGGAGCACGTGCTGGATGAGCTGGTGAAGCGGGCCAAGGCAACGAGCATGAAGGGGTTCGAGGTGGTCCGGGGCGTGACCCTGGAGGCGGAGGCCTTCACCACGAAGAACGACCTCATGACTCCCTCCTTCAAGCTCAAGCGCCCCAAGCTCAAGGTGGGTGCGAGGGCCACGAGCACTGGGGTTAATCCTGCCTTTTGGCGTGCAATGCTGCATGATCAAGGGTAGGTGTGGTTCTAGCGTAGGCGTGGCTCTGGAGGCAGAGAGGCCTTCACCACGGAGAACGACCTAATGACGCCCTCCTTCAAGCTCAAGCGCCCCAAGCTCAAGGTGGGTGCTGCTGTGCTCTCACCCCTTTGTTGCAAGCTCGGGCTCAATGTGGGTTTTGTTACTGCACCCTTGGAATTCAGATGTTATTTTTACTCATAGGCCCGTCCGACGACACTTGCCCTCATGATGCATCTTCGTGGTTCACCACTCTTTCTTTAGCAGCCTTTATGTTTCTGATACTCCCTTTCTGCCCTCTCCATCCGCTTCTGTATGTGTGTGCGAGTCAACGTGTCTTTGTGTGCACATATGCGGGGGGGTTTTCCAACTGCTCTCTTTCCACCCTTCCAGGCCAAGTACCAAGCGGCAATTGATGATCTATACACCACGCTCGCATGAATGCGAGCGCAGCAGTTAGGTTAGCACGAATCAATCTGGCATGCAGCACGTGGCATGCCTGCCTTTAGTGATTGCTGGCCATGCTGGCAGTTTTCTTATTACAGAGCTCTGGAGTCGTTGCTGGAGCTCTGGAATAGGTTATGGCAAACATTGATAAATGGTGTGCATTTACACAAAGGACAAACTTGAAGTTGATGGTTGAAAATCTGGAAAGAAATGGTTTTACACGTTTGATTATATAGAGCGCAGAATACAAATAACGCTGCTTTCGTTAGCCGCCTCAGTACGGCCACGGGCATGACTCACCTTACCACACACGATTGGTTGTTCTCCCAAGGCGGTGAAATTCGTGGCTCTGGTCTGGAGATATCATTGCGGAGGTTGAATTGCTTGTTTTTCCATTTGTCTGTGGCCACCGATATGGCTATTTCACAGCTCCGCATCCATGAAAGCCATTTTCTCCACAAACGCTTCCAGCACATGTTCCAGCAATGCAGAAGCCAGAAAAAAGTTCGCGCCGTCTCCGCCAGCACAATACGACCTCAGGCCCCCCTCTACGCTGGTCCCTCACAGAAATCGTGTGAACTGACGTGGTCGGATTTCAAAAAGCGCACGCTTGATGTCAGCCGCAGGATCTTCTCTCACGCTTGATTTCGATTTTTATTTCGTGTGTAAAAAATGAGCAGTTCCAGCAACCAGCTGTGTGGAACGAACAGCTCAGCGCGTCAACCAACCACACCCCGCTTTGCGACATTTCCACGCAACTGTTCTAAATCCCCAAGCGTGGCTGAGAATCATTGACCAATCCGACGCACGAGAATAAACTCCGCTGATTGGACTAACCGCCAGAGCACGCGCTCTTCCCGTTTCCTTGTCACTTTCGCCCATGTTTGCTGGAAAACGCGGCCCGCCAGGCCAACAGCGAGGGGCCTCGGAATCATCAGGCTCGGCCTGGGTGACACGATCATCTCAACGGCTGCACCAGATTCCCGCCAGGGTAAGCTACACACTAGGCTTGGACAAATGGTGCGGTAACCTCACCCGTACCGGGTCTAGTTGGAAAAGGCCGATTCCAGCACGACGCCATCCATGGCCTCATCACCGCGTGCCATCGACGGTCGACCAGATCAAAGGCGAACCGCCACCTAACGAAGCTACTCCACAGACAACCTACCAAGCCAATCACCCTCCCAACCACTTCACCTCTTCCTCCTTTGGCTGCTCCTCTAGCCTGAACAAACCGCGATTCGGTTCGCCCCCAGCTTCGGCTCTTACCATGCCTGATCTTCCAAAACACCCAACCTCCCCCCCTTGCCCATCTATTAGTGCTAATCCAAGTCCACTCGTAACGCGGAACTCGAGCTGCTGCTCCCGCTCATCACTGTCTCCGGATAAAGCGCACTGGTCTTACTCATTTGCGTGGTGAAAAAACATCCCTTGACGTTTTCAGTCTAGATCTCAGTCGACAACAACACTAGCTTGCTGCAGACGACCTTGCTATCATCAGTTAGGCCAAGCGACTCTTGTAATCGCGATATATAAGGCTTGTAACACCTGGATCTGCTACAAATGGCGTCCATAACATCAGCGCGGCTCCTGATATCGCCAGCACCAGCCGCGATAGCGTCTTCTCGCCTCATCCCCACCGCGACCTGCGTAAAGCTAACACCTTTCCTCGCATCCCCAGCCACTCAGCGGCTCTTCCGCTCCGCCGCGCGGCAGCACCTCTCCGCCAGGCACGGCGCCAGACGCGGCGGTGCTCTCACCGCGCGATGCGATCTCACCGGCGGCGCGGGCCTGGGCCCCGAAGAGCTCGAAGCATTTGTAACTGCCGTTAAGTCCGTGAGCGACGCGGCTCCACATGACGTCAACTCGTTGATGACCCTGGCTGTGGGACTCGGGTTACCATGTAACGTCATGGAGTGCGGCGACGCGATCTACCTCTCCACTCTCGCGCACGAACACCACTTGACGGCGGCCGGCGCGGCGATTCTGCTTCAAGTCGGCGCGTATCTCTGGGCCACGCCGGGTGTCGCCGCGGGTTACTGGGACATGTTCGTTCTCGCAAAGATCGACCGCTTCTTTCGCAAAACGTACAAGCGATCGGACCTCGTTCTCGGGAAAAAGATCGGCGAGGGTGGGTTCGGATCGGTGTACGTCGGTACGCTCGCGAAGGATCCGGATTTCAAGGTGATCGTGAAGCGCGCCACGGAGTTTGGTGACGTGGAGCTCTGGATGAACGAGCGCGTGCGGCGCGCGTGCCCGGACGTGTGCGCGGAGTTTCTGGGCGGATTCATGGTGAAGGGGAGCAAGGGGAAGACGGGCGCGGGGAAATTCTTGGCTCCCGCGGCTACCGGCACGTCTGACGAGGTGTGGCTGGTGTGGCGGTACGAAGGCGACTCGACGTTCGCTGATATCCTCACGGACCGCGACTTCCCGTATAACGTGAGTTTAGGGTCTAGAGTTTCTTATGTGTCTGAGACACCTTGAAATGACTGCGTCGCTGATATAGCTAACCTCTTGTCCTTTCGCCGGAGTGACGCCATCGGTTGATCCTTCAACGCGATTTTCTACTTCGTTTCTTGACGCAAGTTGCATCGCATTTGTTTCGGCATGAGCAGATCGAAAAGTCACTGCTCGGCAAGCAGGCGCCGCCGGCGGACGAGCCACGTGGCCCGGAGAGGGAGCTCCACGTGGCACGCGAGGTCATGCGCCGCCTGCTGACATCCCTGGAGAAGCTTCACAGCCAGGGCATCGTGCATCGCGACGTGAAGCCCGAGAACATGATCTACTGCGAGGACAAGGGCGCGCTTAAAATCATCGACCTGGGTGCGGCCGCTGATCTGCGCGTGGGGATTAACTACGACCCCGACCAGTACCTGCTCGACCCGCGGTGAGCTATTGAGGATCAGTCAGCTGCCCGTAGCTGGCCCGTAAACTTATCCCTCTCCGGTTTTTGAGACGTCTCTGGTAGCCTGCTCGTCGCTCTTGGCACCCTCCTGACTGGTAACTTACCGGCACCTCCCTGCTCGTCTCTCTTATCCCAACCGCCTCCCTCTCCTCCCCCGTCCAGCTACGCGGCACCAGAGGAGTACATTATGAGCACGCAAACGCCCAGCGCGCCGCCTGCCCCTGTTGCTGCCGCCCTTGCACCCATCCTTTGGCAGGTAAGCCAACCTCCCCTCCTTTAGCCTATATTACGTTATCGTATCGTCTCTTACCTTGTTGCTCAATCAAAACATCCACTGCAGAATACCCCTACCCGCCACCTCCCACTCAAAACCTCCCGCTCTCCCCTCTATCCGCGCTTCTGCCCCACCTTGCTCACCTTCTCCCCTCTTTCCCGCAGATGAACCACCCCGATCGATTTGACATGTACAGCGCGGGTCTTGTGTTCCTCCAAATGATCTTCCCCTCGCTCCGCTCCGACACGGGTCTTGCCGCCTTCGCGCGCCAATTCAAGAAACTCGACTACAACCTCACAGCGTGGCGTGAAAAGTTTGAATTCCGAGCCACGGCGGACGATATGCGGCGACTTGAGCTGCTAGATGCAGATGGCGGCCATGGCTGGGGGTTGCTAGAGGCGATGCTAAGGAAGGAAGGAAAGAGGAGGATCAATGCCAAGGCGGCGCTTGCGCATCCGTTTTTCCACACAAGGGAGGCGAGATTGCTGAAGGAGATTCGGAACGGGCTGTTTGTGCCCGGGCCTGCGCATTTCGAGGGGGACGAGCCGCAGGCTTGGGTGACGGACCTGATGGCTAGGTCCGGCACGCAGGAGGCAGGGGGGTTCACGGAAGTTTCGCTTCAGATGTTCAAGGTGAGGACAGGGGGGTTGTTGTAAATTCAGGGAACAAGTTGAGAGTGAGTGTAGTATGGTGCATAAGGACAATGCGCCCGTGTCACGGTTTTGTGAACCAATTCTCTCCCCCTGCACCCTTCCCCCCACCTTTACCGCCCAATTTCCTGCTCCTCCTTCCCCCTCCCCGCACCACCACCCTAAACACCCACATTTCTCTCCCCACCACCCTCCAATCCAACCAATGATACTTCAAATAATATTCAAATATTGCTCCAGCATGTCACCTCAAATGATGTAACTCATGAGGCCCTGTTCTGTTGCCTGCACGTGCTTTGGGGTGGCAGAGGAACGAGCGGCGGCAGCAGAGGAAGAACAGGAAACGCACAGACCCGTCCCCGGTACCGGCCACCACGGAAGCCTCTGGCAGCACAGGGCAGCGCGATAACTCGTGGTGGAACGTGCTTGAACCACCGAGGTGAAGTATTGGGGCGCCTTGAAACTAGAATCTGGCAGCATGTGGCAGTAAGACAACTTGCGGTGGAAAGAGCTTGAACCACCGAGGTGAAAGGAGGGGGGGGCTGGAGGCCTGGAGCTATAGATACTTGGATTGGTTCTTGTGATCGTTGTGGCTCTTGAGCTGCTGGTGGGTGGAGTTATAGAGATGGCAGGCTGGAGAACCATGGGTTGGAAGCAGGGGTGGAGGCAGGGAGTAGAGGGTCCGTGCTGGTCACTGAAGTGAAGGCGAGAGATCCCGAGGAAGGACAAACGGAGGGGCAGAGGTTTGTGTGTTTGCCACCAAAAGTGTGTGTTCTGGCAACAGGTGCTTGCTCGCCAAGGTCGTATTGTGTGCTGCCAAGGGGCGTTTGAGATGCCAAGCCACCCCAGGCCAAATCGTGGGATCCCTTGATCACTTCCGTACATAGCAAGCATGAATCCAGCGTGCATTATATAATATATTTAGGTATTTATAGTCCGTAATACAGACACCCCGGCCACCCCTGTTCGAGCCAAGGAGCGAGTTGGAATACTGAAGGATACGATACTTGATTATTGACGACCGTATCCCCTCCCTCAATCGATCCTGCCCACGATCGATCGAGGGACAGCTGCAGTGTCGCAATTAACAAGGTAACCCGATTTCGAGACAACTTGCGAATATACAGTAATTGGTGCTCAACGATCTCGTCACCTCCGCTTGTGAGCATCGATGTGCCTTCCTGGCCACACCGATCTCGGCTTTTGTATGATCGAGAGTTTTTCCCCCTTGTATTCTCGATCCTGTCACCCAGGGCTCGAGATCGATCCGTGGGTGTCACCTCCTACCAATCCCGCCCCAATCCTGCGATCGGTGTGCCCGATCGGTTTTCCACAGCGATCTCACGATCGATCGAGGGAGGGGACGCGCCCTAAGGACGCGTCAACTCCCACCAAAATGGCAAGACCGGGGAAGGATTAGCGCTGCATACCGATCGTGTCAAGCTCGATCGCCACACCGGTGATCCCAACTGCAGATTTGCAATCGTGGGGCTCCATCGAGCCACATGTGACAGGATCGAGGTTTTGTGGGGCAAAATTTCCCGATCGCCATCTGGAGGCACATCGATTGCGCAAGCCACAGCTGACATGATTTTTGTGACCAGTTTACTGTACATTGTCGAATACTGGCGAATAAGGGATACCTTGTGATTGGTCAAGTCGTGAAATTACTGTTCACTCTGCACACCGAACGACCGAAATTTGGTGGGAGTTGACGCGTCCTAAAAATGAGCTGCCTACTTGCCTGGACACCCAACAGTCTGCTCCCGTTTCAGCCATCATCGGGCAGAGAGATGGATTGAACAGAAAAGTGAACAAATTAATTAATTCCGTAATCTCCCGTATATAGGACCCGGGGGTCTTGTCAAAAATGTTGTGAAACTTGATTGGGTGAACAATACCAAGGGGCATACCGTATGGCCCCGGATATAAGCGCCGTCCGATTAAAGGCGCCGGCGCTTCTATCTGGAGCATGGCGCTTATGGCCGATCCTCGATTATAAGCGCCTCCCCTGTGAAACCTTTACTTATTATAAGCGCACATACACTTTTACTATGGAGCCGTGTTCGAAATGGTAACGAATTTCATATTTGCAGCGAGTCCTATCTCATTCTCGCTTAGTTTGACTCTCGAAGACCTGACTGGATGCGAGTCCAGTCACGTTGTGCTGGCATGCGTGCAGATTGACGTGACATTGGCTCTGTGTGCAGGAAGCAGAATCGCTTGCGCGCGATTCTGCTTTGCGACGCTATATTAGTTCGACTCGGTTCAAATGGCAACAATGAAATGTACATTTTGGTACCCTAGAAGTAAAAATATGTATTTGTCATCATATAAGCGCATGCGCTTATGGCCGTTACTCGATTACAAGCGCCCCCTAAAAAATCCGAGATTTTATTATAAGCGCATATGCGCTACTATCCGGGGCCAGACGGTATTTATTAAGACCCCTGAACACATTAAAAATTCATAGAGCACAATGTATTCACTCATAACACTAGAAAGTCAAGCTTTTACCGAGGGTGTTCAGTTCTTTCGCTGACGCAGATTCGAATCTCAACAGTAAAATCCGTGCAAAATCGAATCCTGACTGGAATTTGACGCGAAACTGACTCGCGTCACCATTTTGTGCCCGATGAGGAGTCGGCCGAGCACAAGCAACCCCCCAGATTCGTTAAGAATATAACATTTTTTTGAAAGTTTGACGAAGGAGGGGGGTCTTAAAATATTTATTTAAAAAAGGGGGGTCCTCACGAGAACAGGTCGGAATAAAAGACCCTTGGTCCGGAAAGAGGACCCAGGGTCTTCTCCGCGGGGGGGTACTGTATCCGGGAGATTACGGTTAGTGAAGGCATAAATACACAGCATAAATAGACTGGGGACTTCACTGGCCCTTGTACACATTGGAATGGCCTGGCCATTGATATCGACGAGAGCTATCAGCCTGCCCTCACAGCAGTCAATGGGACTGGCTAACCAATATTCTGCCCACCTGGTCCCTGGTGATGCTGATGGTGCCAGGGATACCTGTGCCACCCTCTGCTGTCGCTGCTGCTGCTGCTGCTGCAACCGCTGCCACTGCTGCCACTGCTGCCACTGCTGCTGCTGCCACACACCAGCCAGCGGGTTTGCCTAACCAATAGTCTGCACACCTGGTTCCTGGTGATGCTGCTGGTGCCAGGGATACCTGTGCCACCCTCTGCTGATGCTGCTGCTGCCACCGCCGCTGCTGTTGCTGCCGCCACCGCCAATGCCGCCGCTGCTACTGCTACTTCTGCTCTCCACTCCCTCCTTATTTGACCCTTGAACCCCGTTTCCCTTCTCGCCTCTCCCACTAACCACAAGTGAATCTCGAGTCGATATAAGAGACCCGTGCCTCCCGCTGCTGCTGTCTCCTCCCCCATCCCCCTCTCCCAAGCCAGCAAAACCAAGTGATTTTTGAGTCGTCTCAGAACCCAACTCGTTCCTGCCCTCGGCTCCACTGGAAAACCCACCTCTGCTCACATAATGGAACACCATATCTGCATTTCCTTGAAAAGACCCACTCACCCGCACACTCTCTCTATCCCTCTTCCTCCTCCCACGTTTCTTGTTGTTTCTCGCTCTCTCCTCCCTCGCCCACTCCTCCACCTCTCCCTCACTCGGCCCTTGCAACACACACCCCGCCTCCTCGCCGCCCGGCCGCCAGTTTGACTGAATAAGCCAGCGCATGCCGCCCTGCCCCACCACGTTGTAGGCGTACCTGTCCCCCACTGTCCTGATGCTGCTGGCAGGGCCGAAATCCACCTAACGAGGGCACGGGGTGGTGTATGATAGCGAAGCAAGAATGAAAAATACAGGTGATCTGCCTGCGCACATCCCACCATGTTGTAGGCGTACCTGTTGCCCACTGTCCTGATGCTGCTGGCCGGGCTGAAGTGAATCTGAGGAGGGAAAAGGAGTGGATAACAACAGAGGGGGAGGAGATGGGAGGGGGAGATGGGAGAGGGGGAGATGGGAGAGGGGGAGATGGGAGGGGTGATTGATGCAAGACAAACACCCATGTTGTAGGCGTACCAGTCCCCCACGGTCCTGATGCTGCTGGCAGGGACAAAGTCAACCTGACATGGGCAGAGGGTGGTGTATGATAGTGAAGCAAGAATGAAAAATACAGGTGACCTGCCTGCACACATCCCTCCCTCTTGGAGGCATATCTGTCCCCCACTTCCTGATGCTGTTGCTGTTGCTGCTGCTCTAGTCAAGGGGAAGTCTATGTGCATGAGCAGTGGGGGTGTGGATTGGGGTGCATTGAGATGAGTTTTGAGGCGCCAAAAACTTGTCCCCCACCTCCTGATGCTGCTGCTGCTGCCCTAGTCAAGGGGAAGTCTATGTGCATGAGCAGTGGGGGTGTGGATTGGGGTGGCAGCTTGTCCAGGTGTATTTTTGAGTCGACTCAAAATACACCTGATGCTGCTGCTGCTGCTCTAGTAAAGGGGAAGTCTATGTGCATGAGCAGGGGCAGTATGAAGTGGGGTGGCAACTCAAAACACATGCCTCTTTATGAATTACCCATAATTTAAGTGATTAAATCATTCTACATACCCCCCCCCCCCCCCCCCCCCCCCTCCCCTGCCTGCCCCTACCCTTCCTACCCCTGCCTGCCCCCCCCTCTTCCCCCCTTGCCCTGTTCCACCCCACGCACCTGACACTTGTCAGCATTCTCCTGCCCGTCATCATCAAACCATCCTCGGGTGAACACAGGATTCGTTGCCGCTTCTGCTATCTCATGCCCCACAATGCTCACCATCCCGTCCACCCCTCTCCACCCATTCGCACTCCCCCGCATCCCAAACCCTCTCCTGCACCCACTGGGGCACTGCTCCTCCGCGTTCCCCACGAATGCGAATTTGAGAATTTTCCGGGAGACTTCCGCGTACGAGTGCCACCCGCAGTAGGTTCGGCAGAAGCCGGAGTTGGATCGGGAGGATCCGAACCTGACGTCTGCGCTGGAGAGGACGAGGTACTGG